GCATGAGAGACAGAGCCCACCACTAGCTCAACAGGTGGGGGAATGTGAACAGCCTAAGCCTAGAACTCCTCCTAAGCCAGGCATGGCCATTCACACTCCTCTCCACCTGTTGAGTTAGTGGCGTGTGGTGTCTCTCACACCCTCATACTTGCTAGCTGGATCACCAGATAAAAAGAGAAGAATGGCCATTCACACTCCTCCACCTGTTGAGTTAGTGGCATGTGGTGTCTCTCAATCCCTCAGTCTTGCCGGCTGGATCACCAGATAAAAATAGAAGAAAGACAGCCAAAAAAAGGAAACTAATGCAGCTATCATCTAAGAATGAGTAAGCTGCAATATAATGTTTGCTTATAACTTTAATACTGCTATAACTTATGATGCCCAGCATCATCTGACAAAGGAAATATGCAAACATGCTTATACAACATAATCAGAGTACTTAGCCAGCAAATGCCCTTGGTTGGACTGAATAGGGAGGTGGCCCACCAGGATTTCCAAGCTCAGTGTCATCATTCTCATCCATTGGAGGTTGCTCTGATGCCTGGAGTTCATAGCCATGGCTTCTTTGGGAGGCAAGTACCATTCCACTGGATCTTTCAGGATAGAAGGGATGTCCACAGTGCCTGAATCCCTCTGGTCAACTGGGGGCCTGACGGAGCAATTTCTGCTCAACACACAGGGCCTCAATAGATTTAGATGGAGAAGTTTACTGTCAGCTTCAGGGCCCTCAGATACCATGTCATATGTTATAAAAGCTGATCATTGTAAGCACCCCTGCCAATGCTAGGTTATTTGTCTCTCTTTTGAAATACAACTTACTGGCTGGATCTCCAGAAGAAAATACAACCCCAATTCCAAAAAAGCTGGGGACACTGTAAATCTACAAATCTGCAGAAACTGCAGAGTTGCAAATCTCATAAATCTATATTGTATTCACAATAGAAAATAGAAAACATATCAAATGTTTAAACTGAGAAAATGTACAATTTTAAAGTGTTACTAAAACCCAGCACCCTGCATTCACTATATCTGCTCTCCCACAATACACAGAACATGGAAATAAAATTATTTTAGTAAATATAAACTGCTAAATACCTTTTCTCATCAGCAGTTAGAGCAGTCTTGTGATTTCTATCTGTGTTCAGCCCACCACTAGCTACAGTTTTATTTCTGCTCTAGGAGGATGGAAATCCCCTGTCCTGTCTGGACAGTGCTGATTGGCCCTGTGCTAATCACATGCCCTCGCCCAAGAAAAAAAAAGCCCTCTCTAGCAATACACACCAAACTGATCATGTGTAGAAAATGGCCACCTGGGTTCAGTCTGTATCAGGTGGTCATTTTACAACAAGAGGAGGAGCAGAGAAGAAAAGCTCAAACAGCCTTTTTACACAATGCAGATTAACCCCTTAGGTTCCTCAGTGAGTATAACAATCATGCTTTACTGCATATACAGACTGATTTTACTGTTGTGGGTTTAGTAACACTTTAAGACAAATATAAGGTAAGTTTGAAATTGTTGGCAGCAACACATCCCAAAAAAGTTGGGACAGGGCAAGAAAAAGCTGACAAAGTAGTACTAACAAGGAAGAATACTTATTGGCTTAATTGGCAACAGGTCAGTAACATGATTGGGTATAAAAAGAACATCTTAGATAGAGTGTCTCAGAAGCAAAGCTAGGCAGAGGTTCACCAATCTGTGAAAAGCTGCATCTAAAAATTGTCAAACAATTTCAGAATAATGTTCCTGTAAAATTGCAAGACTTTAAATATATCATCATTTATAGTACATAATATCAAAACATTAAAATAATCCGGGGAAATCTGTGTGCAAAGGACAAGGCAGAAATGTAATATTAGATGCCCGTGATCTTCAGACCCTTCGACGGCACTGCATTAAAACAGGCATGATTCTGTGATGGAAATTACCGCATGGGCTCAAGAATACTTCCAAAAATCACTGTCTCTGAACACAGTTCACCGTGCCAGCCACAAATGCAAGGTAAAACTCTATCATGCAAAGAAGAAGTCATATTTGAACATGACCCAGTCTTCTCTGGACCAAACCTCAGGTAAAATGGTCTATTCCAAAGTGGAAAACTGTTCTGTGGTCAGACAAATCAAAATTTGACATTCTTTATGGCAGCCATGGGCACTGCATCCCCCAGACTAAAGAAGAGAGGGACCTTCCCGGCATTCAGTTCAAAAGCCAGCATTTCTGATGGTATAGGGATGCATCAGTGTGTATCGAATGGGCAGCTTGCACATCTGGAAAGTCACCATCAATGCTGAAAGATATTGTATATCCAGGTTTTAAAGCAGCATATAACCCCATCCAGACATCTTTTCGAGGAAGGCCTTGCAAATTTCCAGCCCAAACATTTCAATTGACAAACATGGCCCTGTCCCAACATCTTTGGAATTAGGGTTGTACTTTGCCAGCTTTTTGTTGCCCTGACCCAACTTGTTTGAGATGTGTTGCTGTAATCAATCTCAAAATCACCTTATTTTTTATTTAAAATGGCACTGTTTTCACTTTAAACATTTGATATGTTTCTATTTATATTATTTTCTATATTGTAAATAAAGTATAGAGATTTGCACATCATTGCATTCTGTTTTTATGTAGATTTTGCACAGCGTCCCAATTTTTTTAAAATTGGGGTTATAGCCTAAAAAAGAAAACTAATGCTGCCCTCACATCTAAGAATTGGTAATCTGCAATATAATAAATGTTTGCTTTGAGTTTAATACTGCTTTAAATATAGTATATTGTAAAGTGCTGAGCAAACTGTTATATAAATCCTGTATAATAATAATAATAATAATATTTTAGGTTCTAGGTCACAAACGGAGAATAAAAGGCAATCTCTGCCCAAGGACGATTTATGCTCAACACTTAATCCAGACCTAGTTTGTTACAAATGGCCTAGATGTGGCAATATCTTTTCTCTATATCAACTTGGACTAGTGTAAATTACTAAGGGTTAAAAAAAAGGAATTTATTAGGACATTTTATTTCTCACAGATCACTCCTTTGATTTACAGATGAATGAAACAGAGCACACACAATGTAACAATAATGCTGCTAGATTGTATTTTTGAACTGAAGCCTCCAAACACCATGAACAGTGTTCCAAGCACCATCTAGAACAGGGGTTGTATCTGTCAAATTCAATTTCATCACAGGCCACATCAACATTATGGTTGCCTTCAAAGGGCCAGTTGTATCTGTAAAACTAGATATATTCAGAGTACCCCACAATCAGACGTTAAGAGTCCCCCATGCTCCCTTACAGCACAGTGCACTCCCCTTACTTTGTGCTGCTTCTGGGAAGAATCTGAGGGTGAAGCTCGGTAGCAGAAAGTGCAGGGTCTGGAGGAGGGCTAGAGTCAGCTGCCGAAGCCTGCTGAGTACTGAGACCAGGAGAGGCAGAGACAAGGATGTGCTGCCACTGCACAGAGAAGCACAAAATCTGTAGGAGTCCTATCCTCTTTGCTGCCAGCTGCTAAGACGGAGGAGGCAGGTTCTAGCCTCTCCATGGCTGTATGGAAAAGTACAGGATCTGGTGGAGGAGTTTTATCATACTCTCTGCTGCCAACTACTGAGACAAGGTGGAGGGTGCTGCAGCTGCAGGAGAGGTGCCAGGGCCACATGAAATGGCCTGGCAGTCCTTGTGTTTGACATGTGATTTAAAAGATCAATGTTTCACAGCTGCAGTTTTGTGGAACAAGTCCTGGCTGTCATTCTACAAGAGGAAACACAATTCCTGGCATTTGTAAAGAGTGTCATAGACACCCCTTAAAAATCTGTTGCACCTCTGCACAGCAAATGTTAGTGCTTGTGACAGATTTATGCACTTGCTGGAAACATGTATATAAATTTGTCACATGCCTGATGAAGGGGTCCTGCGAGACTCTGAAACGTTGCCTTGCTGGAACTATATGATCGTTCATTAAAACTTTTGTACCCATATTGGTGATCCTTGGTGTGCTGGTGACATTTTCCTTTGCTGATTCTGTTTGGTTCCAGCCGATGGTCACTGCAGCACCCACTTATACACACAGCCTTTTTTAATGCAGGAACGTGTGCGTTTGGATTGCACATTTGCATGTATATAAATTTGTCACATAGAGAATCTAAACTGGGCACTCTTCAGTGCAACTCTGTAACACTGAGCTTCCTGCCTGGCCACTGTGCTTGTCACTTAGGTACAGTGGACAAGGAATTTTGTTGCTGGGTGAGTGGGCCTATTGAGGATTGTAAGAAATTATGCTCCATCAAGCTCACCTTACTTGTGATTAACAGTAGATGGCAATTTCATAGTTGCTAAACAACCCACTAACAGCTATGGAATGCTGAAGCTGATGATTTTCAATGGTTATGATGGCATTACTCCCATTACAAAAGGGGAGGCAGGCACCTCTAAGTCAACACTGGCCACTGCTTGCACGCTGGGGTAACCTGGGTTTTGGGGATTACAAGGAATGGTGGAAGTAACCTATGGAAAGCCAGCACAATAGACCTAAGGCCATTTTACAAAGTAAAAGGTGAGCTCATAGGTTGACTTTATTACTTAACCAAGTACCTATCCATCCCTGAAGCTTACACTATATTGTCAAAAGTATTTGGGCAACTGCCTTTAAACGCACATAAACTTTAATGGCATCCCAGTCTTAGTCCATAGGGTTCAATATTGAGTTGGCCCACCCTTTGCAGCTATAACAGCTTCAACTCTTCTGGGAAGGCTGTCCACAAGGTTTAGGAGTGTGTCTATGGGAATGTTTGACCATTCTTCCAGAAGCGCATTTGTGAGGTCAGGCACTGATGTCGGACGAGAAGGTCTGGCTTGCAGTCTCCACTCTAATTCATCCCAAAGGTGTTCTATTGGGTTTAGGTCAGGACTCTGTGCAGGCCAGTCAAATGCTTCAACCCCAGACTCACTCATCCATGTCTTTATGGACCTTGCTTTGTGCACTGATGCGCAGTCATGTTGTAACAGGAAGGGGCCATCCCCAAACTGTTCCCACAAAGTTGGGAGCATGAAATTGTCCAAAATGTTTTGGTATGCTGACATCTCAAGAGGTCCCTTCACTGGAACTAAGGGGCCAAGCTCAACCCCTGAAGAACAACCCCACACCATAATCCCGAATCCACCAAAAACTTTACACTTGGCACAATGAAGCCAGGCAAGTACTGTTCTCCTGGCAACCGCCAAACACAGACACGTCCATCAGATTTCCCAACAGAGAAGCAGGATGTCGTTCCAGAGAACAAGTCTCTACTGCTCTGGAGTCCAGTGGTGGCGTGCTCTACACCACAGCATCCGACACTTTGCATTGCACTTGATGATGTAAGGCTTGGATGCAGCTGCTCTGCCATGGAAACCCATTCCATGAAGCTCAGCATGCACTGACCCCGCTCTGTCATTTTACATGGCCTACCACTTCATGGCTGAGTTGCTGTTGTTCCCAGTTGCTTCCACTTTGTTATAAAACCACTAACAGTTTACCGTGGAATATTTAATAGCAAGGAAATTTCACGGATGGACTTATTGCTCAGGTGACAACCTATCACGGTACCACACTTGAATTCACTGAACTCCTGAGAGCGACCCATTCTTTCACAAATGTTTGTAGAAGCAGTCTGCATGCCTAGGTGCTTGATTTTCTACACCTGTAGCAATGGAGGTGATTGGAACACCTGAATCCAATGATTTGGAGGGGTGTCCCAATACTTTTGGCAATATTGTGTATTTTGAAAGCAGACATTTTATCTAACATCTAGGGAAAGTTATAGTTCCAGGGCAGTTTATCACTTTCAGTAAAAACAAATAGGTTAAAGGAAAACTACTGAGAACAGTAAGGAGGCTGCCATTTGTGACCTTCAAAAACAACTGATGTGTGTCACTCTGATTAAATGCCTTTACTACTCTTGAGTAACTGTGGTAAAAACAAGCATATAATTACTTCACTGACTACAGTCTGTAAAATAACATCAATAAAAAACTTAACAGGCTCACTGGCTGTCGCTCTAAATCCTCTCTCGCTCACTATTGGCTGATTTCTTAAGCTTTATTACAGGTTTCCTGTAAGAGAGGTAGCCCAAGGTGCAACAGTATAGCCAGAGAGAATCTTATTAGTTTAACTGGATAATGAAGCCAGCCATTTTCTATCAAGAACAACGGTCATCTTTGAAGACAACACTGGACAACTGTTTTGTATAAAAAAAATAAAAAAAAAATAGGTGAGACAAGCTTTAGTTTGACTTACTAAGCAAGTCCACTTTTGTTGAGGGAAAAAAAAAAAAATATTCCTCTGGGTGATCAATATACACTGAGAGGATTTTAACAAACTTTGCTGCAGATTCCTACCTGTTTTTGCTCTAAAGCAAATAAATTTGTCGTATTGCACAGCGAATCTGAATGGGAATAACTTTTTCATTATTAATCAGCTGATGCACTTGCTATGTTCTAATGAGGAAAGTTGCAGTGTCTGCATCCCTTTAGAAGGGGTTAATTCTTTGGGTTATTCCACCAAGAATAACATTTTTGTTGCAGGATGCCTAAAATCTGACTTGTATCTTTGTGCAGACTTCTGGAAAATCACTAGGGTGTGGTTTGTACACCAACTGTGTACACAAGAGAAAGAAAGTCCATCCCAAAGAGCAGTTACCCTTCAAAGTCACAAAAGGTTTTACAAAGTAAAATATATTTTTAAATATCTGTTGTTGAATTGTACCCAACTAACAATGTCTTGACATCATTTGTGTTTGTTAAAAGAAAAAAAAAAAAAAAACCCCCACACTTTTTTTTTTTTTATTTATTTTTTTACAAATCATGGTCCATTTTATATAAGCATGGAGCTTTTTTTAAGAAAAACAAACATTAATGACATCAAAACAAACAAAAATATAAACAGAGAATACCTTCTGGTATACCACAAACTGCAATATTTATATTTTACAAGGCGACCCTGAATGCTAGATGGAACCCCTTTGTAACAATGAGTTCTCTGTCAGAGCTCTTCTGTCCTTAGGATCTAGTTTACATTTCACAACAGAATGTAAGATTGTAGAGATACGCAGTCCATCGGATTCCTGGGTCTTCACGTCTCAGCACAGGATACTGCTTTCAAGGCTGGATCATTTTAGCCGCTTCTGCTTTAATGAGGGCTATGAGATCCTGATTGATAAGGAACACAAAGCGGAGGCCAGATATCTATGGGAAAGAAATAGAGATGTACATAAGGAACTGGTTGTTTCTATTTTACTTAACAAATGCAAACATAGCAAGTTAAGATTGCAGATATAAAATTACATCTAACAGTCACATCAACCCAATTTTCCCACGAAAAACCTGACTATGCTAATAACTGGTCTGCTGGGAGTTAGATGGTAAACTACATCCACAAAGAAAATTCTACACCCAAGTGAACATCTGTTACATTGGGGTAGATTTACTAAAACTGGTGCACTCAGAATCTGGTGCAGCTGTGCACAGTAGCCAATCAGATTATAACTTCAGTTTGTTCAATTACGCTTTGACAATAAAACATGGAAGCTGATTGGTTTCTATGCAGAGTTGCACCAGATAAAGCACTCTCCAGTTTTAGTAAATCAGCCCCATTGGGCCTACTATTTCTTCACAGGTTAGCGATCATGTATTCTCTTCATAACTTTACAGAGTAACACCTACGATCCCCACATATTCCTTCCGTACATATCGGACAACAGGAAAAAGGTGTATGCTTAGTATTTTAGGAATTAACAAAAATCCTAATGTTACAGTGAACTGCGGTGTCCAAAAGAAAGGGGCCTTTTAGCTCAGCACACCATAAAGTGCCTGATTGTTCTAACTGGATACCCTACTGCAGCCATTTTAAAGGCTCACCTTTTGGAACATGTAACATGTTCCAGTTGCCAGTACCTCCGTATCCCCCTTTCTATGACAATAGGTATCTTCTTCAATCTTCTTCCCACACCCGCTGTCACTTTTTAAGACAAAAAAAAGTGGCAGCCTATACAGCCGCATCATTCATTCAGGGTTTCCTGTGAATGAATGAACAAACTACAAGTACAATCAGCCACCGCGGCTGATGGCTTGTAGTTCTAAATGAAGAGTTTTTACGAATCAGTATCAGTTATGAACAACATGCTCAGTGATACTGACACATATAGTAACATTAAATAGTAACCCCACTAAAGCATATAAAAAAGAACTGGTAAAGCTAGTAAATTATGGAAGCAAAAAAGGCATATTAAATAAAAAGGAAGGAGAGTATCTCATACCATCCACATGCATAATACCCATTATTTACATGGTCCCCAAAATCCATAAAGACATAAATAAACCACCAGGAAGGCCCATTATCAATGGAATAGACTATCAGCCCGATTGGGAGAATATATAGATTGTTATTTACAGCCACTAGTAACCCAAATCCCAGCCTAAGGGACACTAAACATATCATAGAGTTAACTCAGAATATCACCACTAATAATAACACTATATTGGTATATAATGCTGAGACATCAGCAGTACTCAGAATAAACAATGAAGGAGCCATAGAGGCAGCAAAGTGGGCCCTTAATAAACACCAAAGGTTCATCATAAAATGTCTAAAATTTTGCTTAAACCACAATTACTTTTGGTACAAAGGAGAGTACTACTTACAAAAAAAAAGGGGTGTAGCAATGGGCATCAAATTTGCTCCTAACATAGCCAACTTGTACATGGCCAAATGGGAAGATGAAACTATTTTTTGCAACCTTAGAAAGGAAATCGTTTTATACAAAAGGTTTATGGATGATAATCATATGGGAAGGAGAACAACACTCCCTATAAACATTCTTTGAATGTCTTAACAGGAATGATAAAAAATATACAGCTCAGTTGGGACATCAGCCCCACTAAAATACACTTTTTAGATATCCAGATTATAAAAGGAGGAACACAAAGACCTACTTTAAAAACACAGATAGGAACATCTACATCCCGACAAATAGCTGCCACTATAAGCCTTGGCTCACGAATGTCCCCAGAGGGCAATTCATGCGCATTAAAAGAAACTGCACCAGGGATTTAGATTATGAGGAACAAAGCGCAACTTTAGCACAGAGATTTATTAAGAAAGGATACAAACAAGAAATGGCAGAAAAAGAAAGATACTTTGCAGAACAGTGATAGAAATACCATACTGATGGACAAGTCACATGAACAAAAAGGGGTCCATTGATTTACCTGTCCTTTTACAGTATAAAGCAGTGGAAAGCATTATCCACAAACATTGGAATGTACTTAAGATAAACATCTTAAAATGCCATATCAGCAAAACCCAAATGTATATATATATAAACAGGCACCGAATTTGAGGAATAAACTGGTTAAAAATGTCACTGACCCCACCACACAAACATCTAATGTGGGCTTTTATGTATGTGGGAGATGCTATAGCTGTATTAGGGTCAAAAACAATCTAAGAAGATTTACCTTTCAAAATTTAATTACAGGAAGGGAATATGAATTTAAACAATTTATCTCTTGTGCAACCAAGGGAGTAGTTTACGCCCTGAAATGTCCTTGTGACCTCATTTACATAGGAAGAACAAAAAAAGCTCCAAAAAGTACAGAATAAAGGAACATGTCTATAACATCAATAGGGGATACAGATACCATCACTTATCACAGCACTTTCCAGAACAAGGATGCTAGTCACATGCAATTTTGGGGTATTGAAAAACATCAGTCACTGGAGAGAGGACAATAAAATCAGAGAACTCAGTAAAAAAGAATCCAGATGGATTCACGAAATGAAAAGTTTAGTCCCTATGGGCTTGAATAAAGAATTTGATCTCTCTTGTTTTATTAGTAACCATTAGGTTTGGATATTGGACTAAAGGCATAATAGCAATAAGGGCGTGGCCCATAAGTGAGGACAGACACATCCACATCATTCAAATTTATTATTGATAGAGCACTATTTAAGTATCAGTAGTAGGTACATGAATACGCCTCCGGGCAAAACCTATTTACCTACTCATTGCAATAAGTTTATCGTTACACTCGCTTTTGTTGCAAGGGATACTAATATTAGCATACTGATACATGAAATATAATATAGTGAGATCAGCAATTAGTAATGATTTTATGGCTTTATACATTTTTATAGTACCTACATATTGACTTGGCCCCAATTAAAATGGACAATATGGCGACGAGAGAGTTACCATATATTAGATTTTATTCAGTATAATTTTACTCTCTCAGTAATTTAATTGTAATGGATATGGGTTTTAATTTTATTAAAGTATCATCTAGTCATTAATTACACAGATGTGGAACTTATGCATAGTTGAGATATTAATTAGATCACCATTAGTATAACCACAATTAGAATTATAATGCCAGCACACCCCAGATGTCAAGTATTATACATTCCATCCAGTAATACCACACATGGGTGAATTAAGTACACCGGAGTACAGCTGGAGGAAAACCAAAGTTGTTAAAGTTTAATCCCCAGTAATGATTATATACACTCCCATGTATAGGGATTAGAGCCGGGCTCCACAAACATGGCCGCCGCCATGCTGAGTACTATAAAATGGCGCCAGTAGAT